GATCAGAGTTCATAGAAGAGGTCCACGAAACCTTCAAGATTTGACGACTGTTTGTGTGGAAGAATGGACCAAAATCAGCGTCTTTAAGCTATCATTACAAACAAAGGCTTTTGTACAAAGTATTAGATAAATTTCAGTAAGCGTGTTCAATACTTTTTCCCTGTGCCATTCCACATTATTACAAATAACTTCATTTCTGGACATTTATGGTTTGATTTCTTTGTATGTATGGATCATTTGGGTTGTTCCCGACATCTGGTGAAAATTTCATATCATTAGCACCTCTAGTAATATATTTACTGAGAAAAATGTTGAAATGTTCAATACTTATTTTACCCGCTGTACCTACAACTCAATCACTTACAGGTATTGAGCTGGTTTAGCTGAGAGTCATTGTCAACACATACTAATGAGCATGAAATCTCAGCATTTTCCAGGTTTGACCAAAACAACTAAAACCCCATCACTTCTCAAAATTAGTCCCAACCTCTGGCGTGAGGGTGATAAGCATTCCTTCACTAGACCTTGACTTCTTTTTTAAAAAAAGGAAAACAAGAGAATAGTCTCTATTTCCGTCACGTACGAGGAGCTAATGCATCTTCAGCCTGAATACGGGGGGAGAGTGTTTCTGTATGACACAGTAGTTTCTGGCTAGTGAATCGGTTAGTGTTCTCTGCAAAGCTCCTCGTGATGGATGACACTGATTATTCAGCTCCCACGCTGAAAAGTTTTCCCATTTAACAACAACAATGCCGGGCAAATAGTTGATCTATGGCAATTGGACTGCAGCCTGTCATAGAGCAACGACCAGCGCTGCCTTAATGCTCCATAGTGGTGAGGGAGCAGGAGAGCCAGGTCCAAAAATGAGTCATAATTAGTTCCAAAATGTGTTGAAAGTGTGATTAAGTGGAGTCTATGTAGGCGATTATGTTTGAAAATCACTCTTTTTAGCACTTTATCCCTCCGTGCTGTTAGCCTCGTCGTTGCCAGCACAGACACGCTGTCAAATACAGAGAAATGTGCTCGATAGCTGACATTATGTCAATCCAAATCACCAAAAGGCTGACAGAGAGGCGTGACACGGTCTTTTAACCTTAAAACCCTCTGTGGACCTGCTGATGTCTGAAATGTCAGGCATGAAGCTAAATCTCCTCATTACACACACAAAATGGCAGGATTTGAAATGGGTCGCTGCTGGAATGCGTAAGTCAGAAACAAGTCTTCAGCAGGTCTCTGTGTGCTGACAACAGAAAGCTGAGTGACCTGTGGACCAGTCTGACAACGGTTCAGACAATCCAGATGGGAAAATAACAAAACTCAGTGGAATTCATGTGATTCAGATAAATCCAGCAGAAAAAAGTAAAATAGCAGCTTTTTGGTTCCTTCATGCAACCAATCTGCCAAAAAAAAGGAAGAAAAAAAAAACAATGTTGATTTTAAGCAAAAACAAGTTGCAAACAAGAACTGGATTTTAACTTCTAAACAAGCCTTTTATCATCACTCACCTTGGTTACCAGAATCTATTGAGTCAACAATGCAAAATCTATCCTAACCAAGTTTAACAATCTTTTATCTAAACAAAAAGTATTTTGATCTTGTTTTGAGACTTATGAAAGCGAGAACAGAATGTGTTCGATTATTAATCACGTTAGTCTGGACATTTCTTACTGTACTGGTAGCTTCTTGTTCTTTATAAGCACTCATTTTATTCTTCCACAAAATTTTCGGCAGGTCACCTGTTCCACAATTTTGGTGCCTTTTTAACAAAGCGTAGAGCTGTCACATGACACGAAATTATTTTTAAACTGGATCTCATAACGAGAAAACTATCTTATTCTATCAAGATAACCATCTCGTTATAACGTGCTGTGGTTTCATCTGGTTTGTCACTTTCACGGAAGTCTATTGCCTGGATGGCGCGATGGAGAAAACGACTGAGCCACTATACAGCGGGTAAAATAAGTGTTGAACACGTCACCATTTTTCTCAGTAAATATATTACTAGAGGTGCTAATGACATGAAATTTTCACCAGATGTYGGTAACAACCCAAGTGATCCATACATACAAAGAAATCAAACCATAAATGTCCAGAAATGAAGTTATTTGTAATAATGTGGAATGGCACAGGGAAAAAGTATTGAACACACTTACTGAAATTTATCTAATACTTTGTACAAAAGCCTTTGTTGTCAATGACAGCTTCAAGACGCCTCCTGTATGGAGAAACTAGTGGCATGCATTGCTCAGGTGTGATTTTGGCCCATTCTTCCACACAAACAGTCTTCAAATCTTGAAGGTTTCGTGGACCTCTTTTATGAACTCTGATCTTTAGTTCTTTCCATAGATTTTCTGTTGGATTCAGGTCAGGTGATTGGCTGGGCCATTCCAGCAGCTTTATTTTCTTTCTCTGAAACCAACTGAGAGTTTCCTTGGCTTTGTGTTTGGGCTCATTGTCTTGCTGAAATGTCCAGCCACGTTTCATCTTCATCATCCTGGTAGATGGAAGCAGATTTTTATCAAGAATATCTCTGTACATTTTTCCACTCATCCTTCCTTCATTTATTTGAAGTTTGCCAGTACCATATGCTGAAAAACAGCCCCACACCATGATGTTCCCACCTCCAAACTTCACTGTTGGTATGGTGTTTTTGGGCTGATGTGCAGTGCCATTTGACCTCCAAACATGATGTGTATTCTGGCATCCAAACAGTTCAATGTTGGTCTCATCTGACCAGACTATATTCTCCCAGTATTACACAGGCTTGTTTAAATGTTGTGCAGCAAACTTTAAAGGAGCTTCAACATGCTGTTTCTTCAGCAGTGGAGTCTTGCGTGGTGAGCGTGCATACAGGCCATGGTGGTTCAGTGCATTACTTATTGTTTTCTTTGAAACAATCGTACCTGCTAATTCCAGGTCTTTCTGAAGCTCTCCACAAGTGGTCCTTGGCTCTTGGACAACTCTTCTGATAATTATTTTCACTCCTCTGTCAGAAATCTTGTGAGGAGCACCTGGTCGTTGTCGGTTTATGGTGAAATAATGTTCTTTCCACTTCTGAATTATGGCCCCAACAGTGCTCACTGGAACCTTCAGAAGTTAAGACATTCTGTAACCGATGCCGTCATTATGCTTTGCAACAATAAGGTTGTAAAGGTCCTGAGAGAGCTCTTTACTTTTACCCATCATCAGATGGTTCTTGTGTGATACCTGGCCATCATTTGGGACTGAACCAGCTGATATTAATTTGCACTGACAAGGGGCAGGCTTGCTTTCTAATTACTGAGAGAGTTCAGCTGGTGTCTTGGCTTTCCATGCCTTTTTACACCTCCCTTTCTTCATGTGTTCAATACTTTTTCCCTGTGCCATTCCACATTATTACAAATAACTTCATTTCTGGACATTTATGGTTTGATTTCTTTGTATGTATGGATCACTTGTGTTGTTACCAACATCTGGTGAAAATTTCATGTCATTAGCACCTCTAGTAATATATTTACTGAGAAAAATGTTGACGTGTTCAATACTTATTTTACCTTCTGTATGTCTTTTTACGAAGAAGTAATCTGTAAGAGGAACACATTTCTAGACCAAGAAAACGACAGTCAGTTAGTAGTACTGAAGAATGTTTTTGAAATAATAGCATCTGAATTCAGTTTTATAGTGCATATTGCTAAAGAAGTGCCAATAGCTGCAATGTTTGAGCACAAACCCAAATAATACGCATTCTGTTCATTTTTGTTTATATAGTGCAGAGCTTCTTAAACTAGGGTCCCAGGACCCCAGGGGTCCGTGAGTTATGTCTTGTAGTCCTCAAAAATTTCAAGAAATTGTTAATTTGGTTTTTATTTCAAAAAACGCATATGGGGAATAATGGACTAGTAAAACAAACATACTATTACCATGGCATTTAGGGATTAACATTACAGTAAATTATTTTGCATTAACAGCATGGGGTTTATTAAAGGGCGTCCTTGGAATTTGTTTGCCCTTGTAACGGGTCCCCAGACCCAAAACGTTTGCGAACCCCTGATATAGTGGTTCAGTCGTGTTCTCCATCACGCCATCCAGGCAATAAAGCTCCGTGAAAGTGACAAACCAGAAGAAACCATAACACGTTATAACAAGATGGTTATCTTTACAAGATAATTTTCTCGTTTTTACAAGTTTTCTCATTATTATAAGATCCAGTTTAAAAATAATTTCATTCATGTGACAGCTCTACGCTTCCGTAATTTATATATCGAAACATTCAGCTCTTTCAGATACTTTCTGCTATGACTTTGGGTATTTCTGAAATATATTTTTTAGATATTTAGCTTTTTCTACCATTTCATTCCTTATTGAAAATGATTTGATCCATTTTCTACGTCCTTAAAACACTTCAGATTGTTTACAAATCTTTAATGCACTTTACATCTTCTGTTCTAGATGTTTTATATTTTTAATCCTTTCTAATTTCAGCTTCCTTCAGCCACTATTTTGCTGATTTTAGCATTTTTGGCCAGCATTTTGACCGTTTCTGCTATTTTTCTACTAATTTCCACTTTCTGTGCTTCTTTCAGCTGCTTTCTGTAAATTTCAGCTATTTTTGTGCTTGTTAGCTACTTCTTAGCTTTTGCTTTTTTTTTCAGCCAATTTATTTGGTAAAATTTCAGCTTCTTACTGCTTAATTTAGCAAACATGCTGTTTCTTTGTGCTAATTTCAGCCATTTTCTCCACCAATTATAGGCTAGTTTCAGCTTTTCAGGATAAATCCTTCATAATTAGGCATTCCCACATGAACTGCAAATTTTCTAATTTCTCTTAATTAGATTATATTCTGTCTATAGTCTAGTATTTTACTTTTACTTATGTTTAGACGACTAAATGATGGTGAATCAGTTAAGTGACCTCAGTAAACACAAAAATAGCTGCAACTCAGTCATTTTCTCAGTCATACTGAGCTCAAGTTTCGTGTGGTGGTAGCCCAGAGTCGTCCTCAACACATAATGAGCACTAACAGATCACACATAACGTATTTCCAAGGTTTGACCAGAATGGCTAAAATCCCGTCCTTTCTCAGCATTAGAGGGTGTAAAACCTGAGTGGTGATATACATTCCTTTCAGAAAGATTAGGACTTTAATTAGACTAAATGTTATTTTACAGAGAAACTTGCAAGTCAATGAGACCAACCATGAATACAAAATGATAACATGTATTTAATGCATTACAAATCTGTTGACATAATTAATAAAAAAAATGGAATATAAACATTTAAGTGGATTGTTTTAAGCATTAATCACAAAACTATTAAGTCCTGGCCAGAATAAAACAACAACAACTGAGGATCCCATTTATTTGTACTTTAAGTAGAAAACATAATGAGTCACAGATTTATCTCTTTAGTCTTTCAGACGTTTGACTTTTTCTTAATGCAACTTTAAAAAAGTGCAATTAGGAAAACAAAACAACAACAACAAAACATCCATCATTTTGGCATAACTAAAATGTTCCCACTACTTTTTAGCAATCTGGAAATAGAAAACAAAATGTAGGTTCTTGTGTAACTCTTGAATAAAACTTGCTTCAAAAAGCAGTTTGGTGATAAATAGATTAAATCTGATTAGATTAGCAGGTGTTTAAACCAACACAGGAATGTTCACAGGATGCTGCCGTACATTTTGGTCTGTGGGGGCACTAATCAGGTATAATCTGAGCAGACTTTGAGCTGAACGTGAGGTAACAGTGTGTACCCTCACATCAGCCTCGTGATGGCACCAGAGAGGAAGTCTTCATAGCTGAGGCGGACGCTGCCCATCCTGGTGGTGTCCTTTTCCCTGAACAACTGTGTCATGCTCTGGAGCTGGGTGCACACCTGGATGAAGCGGTCCAGCTGCAGGCCTTGGCCCCTCATGCCGAAACGCTGCACCAGGGCCTCAGAAAACTGGGGGCTGAGGTTGTAGCCCATCTGGGCTAAGGCTGGGGAATGCAGATTACAGGAAAATTAGGACTAAAACAACCTCAACGACTTGTAGCAGCTTTAATGAACCGTCACACAACAGTACCTTGGCTGAGCTCAGGGCCGCTGATGGACCCGGACCGGTCCCTGTCATAGTGCTGGAACAAGCCTCTCCACTGCTGCATGTAGTCCCACAGAGCCGAGAACCCGAACAGGTCTATCCGACCGGACCGCGTCTTGTCAAACATGTCTGATGGAAAACCACAGCAGGCTCAGACAAACATGGAACCAGACTTTATTCATATCGAGACATGGGAAACACATTTAATCATTACTGAAATACTTTTAAATGTTATTTTATTTCTTTTTGACGCTCTTCGTTTGAAGTTTAGCTGCTAAAGATGCAACAACTACAGTGCCTGACATGTCCAGCACTGCTTGCAAGAGGGAATAGTTTTTATTTAATTTGGAATAAAAGATATACAAATAGAAGTTTTACACTTGGGATTTTGAAGATAATCAGTCCGCTAACAGTTAGCAAAAAGCTAATTTGCTAAATGTGAAGCTAGTTAGCAGATTAGTGGACCTGCTATATTTTACAGGCTGATGAAGCTCTGTCCATCTTTACTACGGAGCGATTTAGTGTCTCTAAAAATACTCATTTTATACACAGTCTTCTTATAAACCTGTGGTAAATCGTGTGGTAAACACTTTACATGTTCACTTTCTTCCCCTGTAAATTTCCATTTTAAACAACAACCAAACTGTAATTTTTTTAATTTATTTATTTTTGGAATTGGGGTTTTAAGTCACCATTAGTCAACCAAGTTATTTTGGCAAACATTATATGGAGTCAAGATTCAGCTGAGATGTAAGGACATCAAACAGAATGACTTCTTTTTCTGGCTAAAAGTAACACAAATTTCCTCTTTTATAAGCAATAAATGTTCTTGCTTAAAGGCTTGAAACCATTTTCTTAAAAAAACAAAACAAAAATAAAAAACACTTCATCCCTTTTTGTCATTTAGGACACTAATAGAGGAAGGTAAAAATGGATGTCATTCTGCCCCGAGACGCATCTTAACAAAACAAACTCATTCTGTTGAGCCCCACCCCTCGGCTGCATCTGTGTGACTTACTGATCATCATGAGGCTCGTCTCGTCATTAAAGGCGGACCAGTTGGAGTTGATCAGAGCCTGTTTCAGCTCCTTTACGTTGATGAAGCCGCTCTGGTCCGTGTCGACTGTCTGGAACCACTGGTACGCCTCCGGGTTAACACCGGGAGGGATGTTACCTGCAGAGGAGGAGCGTGAGGGGAAGATGAGGGAGAATTATTTTCTTCTTTTTATTCCAGTCCTTAGATTTTTAACATACATTATTGGGCCTCATGCAAGAACCATTCGTACGCACAGATTTGTTCTTAAATTGTGCGTACGAGTGATTTAGGAGAATTTGTGGCATTCACCAAGGTTTTCGTATTCTAAGATTATTTTCAGATACGAACAAAATTCACGAGTGGTCCAGACCTGTCGTATATTTTACGAGCAGTCAGTCTGCTGTTATCCAGACGGGTTTTCCTCCCTATTAACTTTATATTTCGTTAGTTTGAAGATATTTTGAGTTGAATCACACTCCATTATGT